ATCTAATTTTTAGCTTCCAGGTCACCATAATGGGGCAATTACACTACTGCTCTTATCTAGTGGTTGTGAAGATGATAAGAAATAATGCTTTCTAAAGCCCCAGGCGCAATGCCTGACCCATAGGAAACACACAGAACACTTAAGTAAACATATAGTTTCACTTAGTAAACAGTTTACAATTTTTTTTAAACTTAACTATTTAAAAGAGTCTTAAATAGTTTAAAAGACAATCCCCCTAATGCGGATGTTTTGGGAACGCCCCTCCTTCTCCCGGGAAAGGCAACTTGAACACAATGAAGTGGAGTGGGTAGGAGGAGAACGTTTTCGAAAATAGCACCAGTGACATGCTTTGAGCGCTTACCCTTGTCTAAGGCCTCTGGGCTACGAGCTCCTCCGTCTCCCTAGCTCTAACCCGCGCACCAGCCCTGTCCCAGGGGAACCACCCTCGCCGCCCGGGTCGGGTCCCCGCCGCTGGAGCGAGAATTCCGCGCTGGGCCGAGCAGCCCGTGCCAGCCGCCAGGACCAGAAAAGGCGCGCGGCCTGCACGCGCGCATCAGCCGGGTCAGTGCTCGCGCCCGCGGGGCCTGGCGGCCAAGGCCAGTCCGGGGACCGGGGACCGAAGGGGCAGGGGCCGAGGCGGGAGTGCCCTGAGCCGACTGTGGAAAGGCCAGGGGTGCGGAGGCCGAAGGGTGCCGAGATCTGGGGATGAAGGGGTGCGGGATGGGGGGAAGGGGCAGGGAGCGGAAAACAGGAGACCGGACAGAAGCCGAGGTTCCGATAGCAGTTGGAGGGAGCCATACCCGCCACGAAATCTGCCTGGGTGGCGCCATGGGGCCCGCCCCCACGAAACCTCCCGGGGCTGCGCAGTCTCTTTTCCTACGCTCTGGCTCAGCGCTGACCCTTCCAGTTCAGGGCTGTTCACTTATCTCCTCCTCTACACAGATTGTGAGGTTGTATTTTCTTCATCTTAAACACTGAGTAAAGGATCCAAATTGTGTCCCTCTCACGGACTCTAGGTTTGGGTTTTCTAAGGATGGTCTTCCGTTTCTGTATCCCCAGTGTCTGAACGTCTCCCTAGCTCTAACCCGTGGTCAGCAGACCACTGTGGTTGAATATTGGTTGAATATGTACCGAATGACTGTGCAAAAGAATTGCTTTCTTGGGGGCGGACCTAGAAGCAGACGTAGAGTGTGCTGTGATGGGAACCGTGGCCCAGAAGTGCCAGGAGTCAGCTACTATAATCCTTTACATGTATATATTGGTGAACAAAATCAGTAACAATCACATGTTATTCTCATTTTACTAGTGGGGAAACTGAGGTTCAGAGGAGTGAACGCAGCTTGGTGTAGAACTCTGCTTTCTGGGTACAGACTTCCTCAAACACCTGCAAACAGGCCTGTAGGATGGATGTCCACAAGCCTGGCAGCATTCCTCCTGCTTTTCTTTCTTTTTTTTTTTAAAGATTTGTTCATTTATACGTACAGAACTGAGGTACAGGCCAGAGGTGTGGGGGTGAGAGGATTCACCAGAGATGGAGTGAGGAGCAGAACAAGCAGATTGACTAAAATACACTGCTGAGGGGAGCAGGAGGTGAGACAGGAGAGGTCTGCTGAGCCATGTGGGTCAGCACTCAGGCCAGGGATCTAACTTGCACAGAAGTAGCTGCTAGCTCAGTATTGCTGTGCGTTAACCTCTTGTGCCACCACTTTGCCCACTGCAAAGGGAAAGCCATGAGCTGGTGACTATAGTCAACAGCACACAGTGTGGTGGTAAGATTACTGAAAGGGAGAGCGAAGTTGCCATTTAATGATAGTCCACATTTGAATCCTTGCAGGTATACTTGCCAAACCTTTACTGGGCTATGTATGATGTTGGGGAGGAAAAAGCAATGATGAATGAAACACAGGCCTTGCACTCAGGGAATCAAAACTTGGCAGCACAATAACTGTATATGTTAAGGAGTTAATGAAGTCTGTCTGAACCAGAAATCCACAGAATACCTGTAGTCTATAAGACTATAGTGCAAACTACTGATGTCAGAGTTTCATCTCAGGCCTACTGAGTCAGAATTTCCTGGAATGGGATCAAAGCATATGAATTAAAAAAAAAAAAAAAAAAACTTGCCCTGAATTCTGCTGTGCACTCCTAGTTGAAACCTGTCGCTCTACTGCAAAATCATTGTTGATAGCAGATCGAAAAGAGCAGTACACAAATAACTATAACAGAGGGCAAATTGGGGTGAGTCCTTAGTAAAGTGCCAAACCAAGTGCTATGAAGTTTCAAAGGAGGACAAAGTCACATCTGGATGGAGGAGCAAGGAAGTGTTATGAGTGAAGTGGCAATCTGTGATGGGACATACAGGATATGTAGGCTATGGGTCTGTAGAAAATATGGTGTGGAGAAGAGGAGGACCTTTCTGGTAGAGACCAGCTTGAGAAAAGACCCTGACAGAAAAAAACAAGGAATATGTTCAGGGACCAAGAAATAGTGAGTTTGGTTAGAGGGTGGGTAAACAATGGAGGAAATAAGAGTGGAATTCTGTTGTGAATGGTTCTATATGGTAGGATAAAAATTTATTAAGTTTAAATGGAAGAGTCAATGTTGTAGACAGGCTGATGCCCTCAGAATTGATCTATATATTTAATACAATAATGATTTTAAAAAGCCCAAAAGGAAATTTGTAGGAACACAAAATGGCTCCTCAGTTCACTTGGAAACATGTTAAGAAAAGTCAGCAATAGAATAGACAATAATTGGGCTTCCCTAGTGGTGCAAGGGATTAGAGTGCAGCATTATGAAGCTATCAGAAGCACATCGCACAGCAGACTTCTCCTGTCTCACCTGCTGCTCCCTCAGCAGTGCATTTCAGTCAATCTGCCTATTCTGCTCCCCACTGTGTCTGTGGTGAATACTTTCACCTCCTGCTCCTATACCTCTGTCCTGTATGCCAGCTCTTGTATGCATAAATAAATAAATCTTTTAAGAAAGAAAAAATACAATTGAAACAAATGTGTATAGTGTAGACATAGGCAGAGAGATCAATGAAACAAATCGAGAGATAAAACCAGGCATATGTGGAAACTACATTTATTACCAAGAATACAGTTCAAATCAATGGGTTAAAAATTGTGATCAACTTTTTGACTGCCTGGAAGGCCTTCAGCATTGTGCCTCAGAACAACAAGTAGCCTAAGAGTGCCACTGGAAGTTTAATACAGCTCTTACTCATCTAGCAGAAATGGGAATTTTTGATTCTGTAAATTTTTTCCCCTTTATTAATACTGAATCTGTAAATTTTAATCAGCTCCTACTACAGAAAGTTAAAGTCAATGGAAAAACTGCAAATCTCAGGAATGTTGTTCACATTGAACACTTCCAGAATAAAATCACTGTTGTTGCTGAGAAACTGTTCTCTAAAAGGTATCTGAAATATCTTGCTATGAAATACCTTAAGAAGAATAATCTGGGCCCTCCCTGGTGGTATAGCAGGTTAAATCACAGCACTAAGAAGCAAAAGCCACTTTAGCCTGACTGTGAACCCCACCTTCCCCAGAGGTGACCCACATGGAGTGGCAGGCCTCTCCTGACCTGCCCTCTGCTCCCCTCAGCAGTGTACTTCATCAGTTGGCCGGTTCTGCTCCCCACTCTGTCTCTGGTGAATCCTCTCATCACCCCTGCACTTCTGGCCTGTACCCCAGTTCTGTATGTAAAAATAAATAAATAAATAAATCTTTTAAAAAATAATGTTTGAGACTAGTTTCCTACAGTTGCATATGACTTTCGTTACTTCCAAGTTAATTAAGATAAAGATGGATTTGAGTTTGAGGAATAGGTGAGGCCACCTATGGAAAACACTATTAAGTTTCCTCAAAATATTAAAAATAGATATAGCATAGTAATATAGTAATTCTTCTCTTTGGCGTCTATTCAAAGAAAGCAAAAGCACTAAAAGGACTATTGAAGGACTATTTACACTCTTATGTTCATTGCAGCACTATTTACAACCTCAGTGCCCAGCGACATAAAAATGGGTAAAGAAGATGTGGTATATATACACAATGAAATACTACTCAGGGCCTTCCCTGGTGGTGCAACCGGTTAAGGTAAAGCACTACAAGCTAGGAGCAGCTGTGTTTCATTCAGTGTGAGTTCGATCCTGGCCAGAGGTGACCCACATGGCGCAGCAGACCACTTCTGACCTGCTCGCTGCTCCCCTCAGCAGTGTACTTTGTTAGTCTGCCAGTTTTGCTCCCCACTCTGTCTCTGGCGAATCCTCTCTCGCCCCTGCACCTCTGGCCTATACCCCAGTTCTGGATGCTTAAATAAATCTTAAAAAAAAAAAATAATAATTTAACTCCCTTTTTTTATGAGTTGTATGCCTTTTGAAAGTTATTTAACTTCTTGCCCTAATTGTAAAATGAAGAAACTAGTGCTTGCCCGACCTATTAGAAGGTAAAAATTAATATAACCGAGCTGAAAAGAAATGAAATATATCTATAGAGCTTCCAGCTCAACAGGCAGGAGAGGAACATGACTTGATGTTAACGGAACCTTAAGACTTTAAACAAACGACTTCACATTTCTGATCCCAGTTCTTCCTTTGTAAATGAGATTGCTCTTTCTCAACGCCCAGGTATATCTGTGATGATTAAGTGAGACATCTCAGGAAGAGACCTTTTGCACAATAAACGCTAACTGTCCACCATCAATCCAAAAGTCCCCCTTGTTCCCACCCTCCTCATAATCTCCCAAGTATGATTAGTAATCTCGGGCAGAGCCCAGAAAGTTACATAAACACAAACGCTACGTTTAATAAGGAGTATTCAATTGCTTAGCTGATTCTAAAGAAGGACCCTCAAGCGCTCGCTACCACACCCGCCGGCGTCAGCAAGCTGGAGCCGCAAACCCCAATTCTCGCGATATTTTCTTCTGCCTTCCGAATCTGCCACAGATCACGCGAGAGTGACTCGTCCAATCATGAGACCGAATGTCCGTCCAAGATGGTGGCGCTGTGCGAGCGTAACATATGCGTTTCTGGGAGCTTCACCCTGCGCGTGGCTTAAGCCGGTGTGGGTAGAGATTTCAGACAGACTGGTAGGGATTTTGACTTAAGAGGTGAGTTACTAGTATCTCACACGGTTGCGCGTTCTCTTCATGTATATATCATTCAGTATCCTCATTCTCTTGTCCTGGGGCCACGAAGTGCTGGGCCCGTGAAAGATCAAGGGAGCGAGACCAAGCGCGCGCTAGTGTGTGGGTGAGTGAGGGAGGGGAAAAGGGAACTGGGTAAAAAGGGAAGGGAGCTGGGGCTGGGAAGGGAGAGAGAAAGATAAACGGGAAAACTTAGCTGAGTTGAGGATGAGCGATGGAGAACTGGTAGTGGCGGGACTTGAGAAAGAAGTTGGATTTATGAGAGAAGGCGAGGAGAGAGGGGAAATGGAAATTGGACTTGATGTGGATGGGGTCTGTGCAGAAAGAATTCAAAGTTTTGAAAGCGAGATTGAGACTTATTTTGTGTTAAGATAAATAGTGATTGAAGAGCTTCGTTAAGGCTCCATAGAAACCAAAGAAACAGAATCATGTAGATGGGAAAGATCAAAGAAATTCGAACCGTTAGCTTCTAGGATCTACCGCTTTAACTTTCTGGACTGATTTGGGTAATCTGGAAAGACACTCCAATCCTAAATCTGAGTCTTTTTTTTTTTTGTTATAGTCTTAAGTCGGTGCGTGAAGAGTACCATCGTGCTTTCAAACAAATACTTGTTGAATGCTTACTCTTTGCCCTGTTTTAGGTGTTGGCATGCCAAGTGAACAAGATAGACAATGTTTCCTTTGTGACACTTAGCTGGCAGGACAGATTTAATGGTATTCATTCACTGTACATTTAAATGGAGGTACTCAGGAAAGCCATCAATAAAAAGGTGACATTTGATCAAAGATCTGAACCAGGTGAAGGTACCTTGTTATGTGTGTATTTCTAGGGGAAGAGCAGACCAAACAGCAAATACAAAGCCCTAAATTAGGAGTGGTCAAACTTGATAGAGGAATAATAGGGAGGCCAGTGTAGTTAGAGCACAATGAGCCAGGAAAAGTAGATTAGGTTAAAGAGAAGTGGGGAGATCACAGTTAAGATAATTAACTAAGATCCGGTTTCCTGTATTAGGAGCTTGGTTAGCAAAATTGGTTTTATTCATTCTGCATCTGTTCTTAGCAGAAAGGTTTGGTAATTATGAAATGAATAGAGTTTGCCATATCTGTATTTAACTTGTTTCATATATGTTCAGAATGTCATGTGTGAATGTTGATGTATGCTATGTAGTCTTTAGAAACTTAGTTTTGCAGAGCCATCATTGTCAGTCTCTTGAAATTACTTTTGGAGTTTTTTTGTTGCTTGCTGGAATTACAAAAGAAAGTATTTTCTTTCCATTTTGGGGGGCGGGGGACTGGATATTGTCCTAGTTTTATGTTCCCCTCTTTTCTGATAGTCTGTAAAGGGTATGTTAATGTCAGTAAATTAAATTTGTATAATAGTTTCTGTGGTAATCTGTGTCACTAAAGTGGTAATTTGGTGTACTGAGAAACTTCCAAGTGACTTAATTCTTTCCAATTCTGAATTGTTTAATTCACTCAACAAGTATTTAGTGTATGCTTGGGATGTACAGTTGAGAGTTAGATGGACATGATTGCAGTCACAGGGGTGTGTGTAAGAGAGAGAGGAAGAGGGAGAGGAAAATAAAGGTGTAACCAAAAAAGAATGCTGAAGGAAATGACAGAGTGCTTGGAAAGCATATAGAGTCAGCATCTGATTGAGTATGTGGTGTCTGAAAAAGCCTACTTGAGAAAATTATGATCAGAGTGTGATTTGAAGGACTAGTGAGCCTTCATGACATGAAGGTATGATAAGAAGGGTAAGAAGACTAAGAAAAAGCAGATGGTTGGGCAAGTGGCAACAAATGAGATTGGAGGGATGGGTAAGGCCTACATTTTGTGTTCTTTGTTAATGATTTTGGACTTTAGGAAGCCACTGAAGGGGTTAAGGACTGTTCCGATGTATGTTGGAACTGGACTTGTCAAGTAAAAAGTGGATTGCAGGGGCTAGAGTGGTTATAGAGAGGTGATACAGGTTATTGGAATAATCCAAGAAAGAGGTAATGATTTTGGCTATAGACATGGGTGTTATAAAGGGTGAAAAATGGACAGGGATCAAGAAATAATAAAGATATAAAGAATATGGAGCACACAGTGTGTTTAAAATGGGGTGTGGGGAAAGTGCTGAAGATTTTTGGCTTGTGCAACAGAGAAATGTTATTCAGCAAAACAGGGAAGATTAGAATAGGATCAGCTTGGATGAATAGGATAGATAGAAATGGTTTAATTTTGTACATGTGTATGAGATGTTCACATATTGCGTATGAAGCATTTTTGAGCCTGATCTGGTGTGAAGACAATTCTTTTTTTGAAAATGGGTGTAAATCCTTGAAAGGTGACCTCCCTCTGAGGCATCCAGAGGGAGGAGAGGGAGAGGTGAGGGGAGGATGGGAAAAAGCACAAAGGACTGTGGTGGAAGTGCTAAGGCTAATCCTAAAGAGTCTTCACATGACCAATTAGGAGGCTCTTGTATCTTGTACTGGGCTGGTATTGGTGGAAATAATATTTAAAAATAGATGAAATTGAGTGCTGTTTACTGGTAAATCTCATGAATAGTGATTTATTAGGATATGTGAAAAAGAACTATTGGCTGATTGCTAGGTTTCTATCTTAATAGTATTTAGATGAATGCTTCTTTTTAAGAAGTGAAAAATGAAGAATTTTAAAAAAGGAGAGAGTAAAAGGTACCCACACTCCAAATATGAATACTAAAATAGTTTTAAATTATCAACTATTTAGAGATTTACTAACCCATCAGATTACTTTGTAATCTGCAAGAGAAAGCAATTATATTTGTTTTCAAACACCTACTATCATCCTAAACAAAGCACTTGCTCTTAAGCAAACCCTGCTTGCTTCTAAATCTACTCTGTCCTTTCAATTTGTCTCTTGGTACCTCATACGAGTAGAATAATATAGTATTTGTCCTTTTGTGTGTGACTTATTTCCTTTATATGTTTTTAAGGTTTACCTATATTGTAGCATGTGTCAGATTTTCATTTTTACGACTGAATAATGTTTTATGTATATGCCATATTCATATGTTTGTTTATTCATATGTTTATGGATAATCTGGGTCTTATCCACCTTTTAGCTAGAGTAAATAATGCTACTGTTGAATGTTGGTGTACAAGTATCTGTTTGTATTCCTGCTTTCAGTTCATTTGGGTATATATTTTGGAGTGGATTTACTGGATCATATGGTAATTCTAATGTTTAACTTTTTAAAGAACTGACAGTTTTCCATTGCAGCTGTACCAGTTTTTAGTCCCACCTGCAGCATGGGACCATAGTGTCCCATAATCTTGCCAACACTTGTGCTTTAAAAAATATTTAATGAATGTAAAAAAGATGTAAAAAAGATGTAAAAAAAATATTTAATGATAGCAATAACTTTGTAATAATAAGTGATATCTTATTGTGGTTTTGATTTGCAATTCTCCAATGACTAATGATGTTCATCACCTTTCATAATCTTATTGTGTACATTTTAAATACAGTATTCTCATTTGATTGGCAAAGATATATTGGTTGTAACTTGGTTAGCAATCCCAACTTTTCCCCATTTGTTATTTTTAAATTTACTATCCTGATTTTCTCCCTTTTTTTCTTTTTAAAGATGGCTCTGAGTAAATCAATGCATGCAAGAAATAGATACAAGGACAAACCTCCTGACTTTGCATATCTGGCATCCAAATACCCAGATTTTAAGCAGCATGTTCAGTTAAATCTGAATGGAAGAGTGAGGTAGGTGAAGAATTCTCAATACCATATTATCCTAGTATAATCTTAATGGACATGGGAAAGTGGGGAAAATACTGGACTTGATTGTAGACCTGAACACTAATCCTAGATATTCCTTTAAACTTCTCATGACATGGCTTCCCTGGTGCCATAGCAGCTAAGTCTCAGTGCTTTCACTGCTAAGGCCTGAGTTCGTTCCCTGGCTAGGGAGCTGCCCCATATGGTGCAGCAGATCTCTACTGTCTTGCTGGCTGTGTCCCTTTTCAGTAGATCTGCCTGTTCTGTTGCCCATTCTGTTTTTGGTGAATACTCTCCCCTGACATCCCTCGACCCCTACCCTCTGGCCTAGACCCCAATTCTTACATGCATAAAGAAATGTCTTTAAAAAATCTACATTAGACATATTAGTGATGTAACTGGGTAGATCGCACAGGGAGGATAGAGATCTGGGTGAATGTGTGAGAAATTCTTGAATAGGATTAACAGGAGGATGTGCAGCAGACCTCTTCAGTTTGGCCTACTGCTTCTCTTGCCAGTGTATTTCAATAAAGCCACCTTTTCTATTCTCTACTATGTCTCTGGTGAATTATTTCACCCCTGTGCCTCTGGTCAGCACCTAAAATTTGGTGGCATGGGGAGAAGTCAGGTACAAGCACCTCTTATTCCTTTATATTTTTCATTAAGAAAAAATTAGGAAGACATGGTGGAAATTAAGAAGTGTGAGCCAGGGACTCAATTTAGGTAAGAGTGTTGCTGTTTACTGAAGTAAGGAACAAGTGAAATAGTTTGTGGAGAGATGATATTTTCAGTTTGGGACAGTGAATCTGAAGTGGTTATAGGATATTCATGTAGGGTACTTTATAGACAACTGAAAATGGAAGTCTGGAAAGGGAAAAAATGGTGATGTGGGGGTGATGTTAATGAAGACTCTGAGTCTTTGATCAGAATACTGAAGGCTGGATAGAAAATGGAAATCATTCCAAGTGTAAACAGAATTTTGTGAAAGGCATAGTAAGTATGGAGAACTGCATTGTAGGTAGGGCTGAGGCTGTAGCACTTTGGGGAATAACAGAAAATGCGACTGGAAGGAGAATAAAGAACACGTCACAAAGAGCCTTTCATAGCATGCAAATTAGGAAGAACTTGATTGCTCAGACATTGAAGAATCAGGATTTTTTTTTAATAATAGTTTTATTTTTACATCATTTTGTGCCTTTTTCCATATCAGTTGTAATCCCCATGGGCTTCCTGTCACCAGATCACCCATGTGCCATCACCATAGTCCAGTGCAGTTCCCTCCCCCCACCATTTTTGACCCCATTCCCCATTCCATTTCTGTAAAATGTCTCTGGTATATATTTGTTCATTATTACTATTATTTTCTCCCCTGGTCCTTTATACTCCTGCTATGAGTGAAGCCATCTGGTATTTTTCCTTTGAAGAATCAGGATTTTTAAGATGGTATAAGACATATTTAGAAAAACATCACGGTTCTGTCAGTGACGGTACAGGTGTTTCTTTTCACAGATTTTTTCCCTTTGCAAAGCAGCAGCAAAAGTTCTACCTGCCTGTGACTATACAGATACTTCTCTTTTTCTTTTCTTAATAATCCTGTCCTTTTAAAATGTAAAAAAAAAAAACTCAGCTGAACAAGTTGGTATTACAATATATATGAATTGATTAAAAGTAAAGAAATCCAGTAAATGTTTGTTGAATGCATAAAAATAATTTCTTTGTAAAATTTAGCTATATGCTATTTACAAGTGGGATACCTGATATAAAATTACAGGTAAAGGATGGGGGGCGGGAATAATAGAATTAAAACTTAGCATTTTGAAAAATAGATATATTTAAAAACGTGTGACATAATTTGACAACATCTTCCCTTATATTTCTAAACAAGTAACCAAAGTAAAGGGAAAACAAAGAATTTGGGAGCTTTCAAAGGGTCTGTAAAATGCTTCAAAGACAAATAGAAATAGTTCATATATGTCCTTTTTCTTGAGTGATTGGGTTCAAAACTTTTACCTTTTATTTAGAAATTCACCTTTAAAAGGGTTATTGACTTGGCCCTCCCTGGTGGCGCAGCGGGTTAAGGCACAGCACTGAGAATCTAAGGCTGCTTCCGCATGAGTTCGATTCCCGCCTGCCCCAGAGGTGACCACATGGCGTGGCAGACCTCTCCTGACCTGCCCGCTGCTCCCCTCAGCAGTGTACTTC